CGGGCTTAGGTGTACGCCCGGGCTTTGGGATCTCTCTGCAGTCTCCTTCGATCGCTTTCCCTTTGCGCGTCGGCCGATTTCGTACGTCCGTGCGGTTGGGCCGTTTGGCCGCCTTTCGGCGACCAGTAGGTTTGGCTTTCCCGTTTTACGTTCATTATTCATCGGCTTGACGGTTAGCGTACTTACGAAGTAGCGGTGTGACAACGCCACTCAGCCAATAAAAACATTTGAATAATAAACGCTACTAGAATAGGCTACGTAGCGTGTCTATAAGCCAGATAACTTTGGCTTGAGAGACACCAGTGCTGTGTTGTTGGCATAGGTCCACCTCAGATATGTACTATAATTTATAACCAGGTAAATGCCGAGGCGTAAATCGAAAGCATTAACCTTCCTGTCCTTAATCATGGATTCAGAGACGGCTACCATTTTGATCTCACCTTCTGCAAGATGCATTCGGAGCGTTAGTTTTTCGGTTTATCTCGTCCCATCTCTAACTCGAAGTCTCGACTCTGCATCTAACTGAAAAGCTTGCTCATAATCAACGCCGCGATTTAAGTGACGTAATATCTGCAAGGACACAATTTGGTCGCCAGTATCTTCTTAGTTACTAAGTGGAAAAAAAACTTAACACAGACAAACGCTGTTGGTACTCGACAGATATCAGTTCAGTGCACTTTTTACGACACGTCTCTGAACATACTCGGGAAATTGTATGTGCTTTTTCGATATCTTCCCCAAGTTCGCACAACATAATCCGGTAAGATGTGGTTAGTTAGCACCACCTGATGGACACAATACTGTTGTGGTTGGGGAAAGGGGTTAGGATTAGGGGGGTTGGGTTAGGGGTTGGAGTTAGGGTTCAGGGTTAGAGGTTAGGGTTGGGGTTAGGGTTAGGGGTTAGGCCAACTATTTCTCAAACACGCGGAGTAAAACAGCGCATTTCCAATAGCTTTTTCGCATTCAACTACCTGACCTCGCGGCCTGTGCGTTTCCCGACCCCACCTGTAAAAACCCCTATTACCACCGGTCCCGTATTACAGGTGGCTGGGGTTTATTTATTTCAGATAGGGTTGCATAACCACATCTGACCCATAATCCAATTGCGGCCGAACGAAAGCTTTAAGAGCTTTGTCAGGGATTTTGCGTTCAGGCTGACAGAACGACTTCACGTGGTTTTTATCAGTACTATCCCCGTGTGTCACCGCGTTTGGGGATTGTGATTTGTCACGTAAGTATTCTTATCTTAACAACAAGACTCTTTTTGAGTCTGGCAATTTCCTAAGGATAACTTTTGGGAAGTATTTACGCGAAGCTTTTGTGTCTTCGCTCTGTGTCATCCGAATTCGTTATTACGAATTTAAAGATGACTAACTTAATGCACCATTTCAAAACCCATTTTAGCAAGCCATCTGTGTCCCTTCATAGTATCATGTCGTCATTTCCTCGCCAGCGATCGTCCAAAGTCTGCAAAAAATCTCCGCGCCCGACTTAATCGCATGTACCAGGCCAAGAATGCAAAAAACATATTCCTATTGCAGATCTTTGGATGGACACTACTTATAACTAGAGTCTTTTACTGGCGCTCGCACTTGAAACTGTCTTATCAGTGTAAAAGGCATCAGAAAACTAATGGAGGCGGTGCTAGTCTGTGACCATCAAACGCCGTGCTGTGGTCAAAAAGACAACACCTCTGTCCCAAGCCCTCATCTACTTTTCTATTGTAGTTAAAGCAGTTATCAGACAGAATCAGTTTCTCCGCATACGTCATGATGCGTGTCCCGAAATAGCTTGCTTGATTGGGAAAAGGTATCAGTTCTTGTTTGAGAATGTCCTTCGTTTTCTTAACGCCTGAGCACGTTAAATTGGCTGACCTGTAGCGCTGCACGTAGAGTCCAAAGCCGGGTTTGTGAGTCAGTAAGAAATTTGCCATTTTGGATAAGTCTCGATGCCTAGAACAGTCTAATTATAGCTGAATTTTAGTGGAGTGACTGGTTTCGTGTCTCATATACTCTCTCAAAAGCACAAGTGGAATCCGGTCCAAGCTCAGTAATTTGACTGAAGCAGATTTCGTCATTTCAGATTTTACCATGAGCCCGGTAAGGTAAAATGGGTTCGGCTTTTTAATTTTTCTAGGAATTTGCGTGCAAGAATGAAGTAAGTTTCATGCACAAACCTCCTCAGGTTCAGTCCGAAAGTTGGTGTGAACATTTGAGCCGAAACCCATTAACTCTAGTGGAGTAACCGCATGATATTTTCATGTTGCCTACAGACAGTCAAGAGTATATTAAAACTGATTTATTTTCGGCAAGCGACAGGCGAGTAAGACGTCATGGAATAACGCAATGTCGGCGAAACACGTGATCATGCTTTTCGCTGGTATCCATACCACGGATGTCAAATCCGTCAGCATCTGGATAGAGTTGGTTTGTCGACTGGAGGCGGTGTTCCAAGGTCTGTTTATTGTTTATTTTAAGTTTTTGAGATTATAGGTTGTAAAATGAAGATAACAACTCCGTTTTCTGGCATCCCATGGTCACCATTTTGTTTCCCCATGTTTGAGTATAGGGATATAGGCACGATATTTAACGATTATTCAGGAAATCATAAAACTGCTCTGCCTTCTACAATGCTTAGCCTAGCAGTTTCTTGCGTAAGAAACCCGAACCCAACTAACATTTAAAATGCCTTTGTTTTCGTTTTAAATCTCATAGATTCTAAAAAACACTTCCTGCATCTTTTACGTTGAAGGCAACCTGTTGTTAAGGGAGCATTCATGCATTAGTTTTTGCCAAGTAACCTACAGGCTCTCCAACAAATACTGTTGTCTCCTTTCAACAAATCCGCCAACTTTTTCTCTTGAAATTCGACCCCATATTTAAATATTCACCTTTCCAATCATCCATCTATAACTTCTCATTCTTGCTCGATACAACAAAGCAGTTGCCTTCATTTGCAAAATACCTGGTCATCAAACCTAATGAGAGGCAAACAGTTATTTTATCCACATCCTTTTCGTCCAATAAGTAGAGGATCCGGACAGCTAGGGCACTGCTCCCTTGATATTGTCGCTTGAAGACAGACATGCCGAACAAAGAATTTATCCTGAGCCAGACATGTTAATATCAGTTCGGATTTACCTTTGAGTCTTCTAGCTGAAATCACATCTTATAGCTACACAGACTTAACCAAGCGGCAAAGACTGTCTTCCTGACTCGCTTTACGCAGTTCAGTAAGCAGAAGTGGCTTTTTTCTCACCTCAGACTAATTCGCCATCCTAAAAATACAACGAAAGTACTCCCTAATAATGCAGAAGAATTATCCAAAGGGCTCAATTTCGACGTTATCGACACCGACCATGTCTACTGAACCGGTATGTGTTTGTTTTAGCATTCAGAAAGATTACTGTTGACTCTTTTGTTTTTACAGTGAGTGACCGATCTCATGAAATGTGAAGTGCGTTTTCGATTAGGAATGGCTACTAAGGCGCAGTTGTGACACCGTTTATCTTGCGACATAATCTTATAATATTTCGGACTCGGCAAGATATCAGCTTTAACTGTACTGCTTTTCAATCTCCTGTGGGTACCGTACTTGGTCAAAACGGCTACTTATTTAGCATGCATTTTTCCCATTGATTTTCAATGGTCTTCCCCGGCCCCAAGCGCAGAGACCCTCTTTTACCACCGGTCCTGTATTGCAGGTGACCGGGGTTTGCTTACTTCAAGTAAGGCTACATAACCACATCTGACCTATAATTTGCCCCCTAAAACGGGCCACGCGATAAATGTCATGGAGTAACATGGGGGCCAAGTCTGGTTGCGGCACACGTTATTAGAGATGCGCAACTATTACATTTGCTATTACTCGATCCCAGCTCCGACCTTCTTAACTCTGTTTTGACACCGGGCGAAGGGGATTGAGGAAAATGAGAGTGCAGTAGCGCAGCGCACGTTTCATAAACCGACTACTGCGCAAGTCACCCTTCCTGTGCCCACCATGCTGTGGAATATACGGTGTACCTCGTCGGAAACGACGGCTGAATTGTCATATACCCTACAGTAAAGTAATATATGGTATATGTAGTGTAGTATGGTATGCGTGGATGTCTATGTGCAGCGCATACATAAAGTTACCAAAGTGGACATGTTGCATTACTTTTAGAGTCCGAAATGGGCATAGGGCAGTGTCGCCAAATGACTGGGCAGAATTTCGAGGGACATTACCTCTTGTAAGGTATTATACATATGGTCGAGATAGGATGCTTTCGAACTGTATGTCAATGGTAGTCTTTCGTTCTATATGAAGAAGGGAAAACGTACCTTAAGTAACAGTTTGTGCTATATGTCTTGTATACTGTTAATTCAAATACCTGACATACCACACATGCCGAGGGAGTTCTGTGTGTCCAGCTGCTGGCCTGTCTACAGGAAAAGACAACCCCGAAATACTTATATTTTCATGCACAAATTTTGATCCAAAATTTTAACCTCGGCAAAATATAATCACCCAGTTGATGAATAATGATTTAGGAGGGCTAGATATCCGCGTAAATTTTAATCTGCTTGCTGTACCAGTTTGCCAGTTTTTCGATTTTGCTACTACAGTTTCTCACTTTTTATGAAAGGGAAACCAAATGTTGTGCTTCTATAAGTAGGTCCAAAATTGTGCCAGTGCATCCAGTCTGTGGTGTACTTCGAAAATTGCCGCCATTTTATCCAAATCCAAACTGTCAAAAAAGTATCCTTCCGGGCAGGGTTCATCCAAGTCCACGTCTGCAAATAGGCTCTCAGCCCATTCACCAACGACTGCACTTAGACGTCACCTCCACTGGGTGTTTTCCATTTGTAGGTGCAGGTGTATTTCGGTTGGCACAGAATTCCAATGTGCATCAGATGGTGCGATATCCTCAGTATGTCCTGGGATAACGAAAACAAAACAGTTACTGTCAACCACTTCAGACAGTTTGGTCTCGAAAATAAATAACGGATTGTCGCATAATGATTGCAAACTCTAAACGGGAAAGGCCGGACCACAAGGTATGTTCCTGCTCCTCTTTATAGCAAGTCAATCCTAACATAATCTCCTCCTTTCTCCCAAAGCTTATTAATTTAGTAGTATTTTCCCCTATTTCCGGTTCTCCGACAGTTCAGTTTACTTGAAGAGTCGAATTTAATATGCCAAAATAGGAACACTCCTTGTACTTCTCCTCCTCCCACACAGATTTTCCTGATGATACTCGGGCAGAATTTTGCTCGTCAGGGCGGCTCAGTAGGGAACTGCACTGTCTTACATGGCAGGCAGAAATTTACATAGGTTGCCTGTTGATGTCTCTTTTACGCAGTGCCAGAAACGTTTTCGCAACTCTGAATAAAAAGCAAAGATTCCAACAAAGATTAACCCTGATGAGCGGGAATGTGCAACGATGATTTTATAGGCGTAAGTGGATACCAGCTATCATCATCCAGAAGATCACCACAAGTCTGAATAAAACGCCGCCATCGGAGGTGTTATAGTACAAAAAGCGAAAACCGTTTTCCGGGCTTAAAATTTCTTGCTCCCTTTATCAAAAACTTTGTCAGCATACATTAATACAAGATAGACATATCCTTTTTGATATAAAATGAATTGTATGGTGGAACTACTTCCCAGAATACGTTTGTTTTGGCAATACCAAAAGAGACTTTTGAAATCTTGAATACTTATATCATGAGGGAAAAGTACTCATAAGTCAACTAACTATAAACCATTCTTTGCTGAGAATTAATTTATTAGAGAAATGGGATCATCAACAGAGCCCTCCAACCTCTAGGTAGAACTCAGTTGCTTAAGGCGCCAAATGCCTGAGCATTCTGCTTTAAAAGTGACTTCAGGATGACCTACATGCCCTTATGTCAAATTACAAAGAACTGGAGACTCGAAAAGAGAAGGTCTTAACAAGTAAACTTACCAACGTCGTGAAAATATTTCCCTTATAAAATGAGAAACAGTATATTTTGCCTAGTGAGAAAGACAGCAGTCCCAGACTGTTGTATTAACTTTGTATATTTGGGGAGGGGAGACAAACATCGCCTCAGAAGCTTTTTATGCCCATGTGCACGACAAAAACTTAAGGGTCTGGATATCAAAAGATTTGGCCACGTGGGAAAGAATAATGTGTTGTAACAAAAGTAGTTCCTCCATAAAAGGATTGGCCTTGAGTGCTTTTTTCTAAGATAGCTGTCTGCTCTGGCTTCAGTTAGTGTTCATTCATTTTTTTCCAATAGTAGTGGTAGTTTTTTGCTACACCTTTTACCATTGTGATCAGCTCGTTATGTATACGCCATCGCCGTGCACTAATCTTATATTTAGTACCTTAAAAACCATACTGATCAATAATAGGAAACAGCGTTTTTGGAAAAAAAGGAGAAGCTGTTTGGTTTTGGTATTAAAAGCCACATACCTGCAACATTCTTGGAAGGCGGTTTCGGATGTGTCCCATTAGTTAGCCCAGTAAATAGACGTTAATATATCGCAATAGCATGCATAAATATAACATAGTTTATTCCAGTTAGTAGCTGCTTATGCAGAAGACTGGGCCTTTTTTAACCTTTCCGCCCAATATACTTCCTCGTCCACTGTCGGAATAAAATTGAAGATCCTTCCTAACCTAAAATACGATTTAAATAAAACACTTCTGTCTTACCTAGGCATGCTCAGATGTCGCCACCGATGCCTGCTTATCACACTCTCTGCTGTGTCTATCGCCTGTTTTCTCTTATTGTCAATTTGCACTGGATTATACCTCGGCTTCAATGGACTCAAAAGAACTTTTATTGAGCAGGTACGTGAAAGAAACCGTGTATTTCCTCTTGTTTTTAATTTGGATTGCGCATCGCAGTGTATGTCCCGTTTGTCTTCTCGTGGAGCCATTGGCCCACGATTTTCCGTATGGCACGTTATGTTGCATAAATGACTTAGGCTTCAAATCGTCCGTACTTGAATTGATTTCTGGTCGGGAAACCCATATTGCCTCTTTTTTACAAAACTCAACATATGCGTTTTAAATGGCTGCAGAAGGCGGCGTTTGATTAAACAAAAGCTGGGACGACGTAGTGAACTTAAAAAAGATTAATATAAAGTGATCATACTTGGACCAAGTTATTTCAAGAAGACACTCAGGTGTAAAGTGGTCGTTGGCAGGCAAACACAAAACCTTGCTTATTGCATTTGGCAAAAGAAACCCATCACTAAAATTATATCGGATAATTCCTAACTACCTACGAGGTATCATTGATGAACGAGTATACTCAAAACATGGGCCACAAAGAGCTGTTAACTCAGCTCACTATTTGTTTCCGCCTTTATGAGAACTCTGACAGAAAGAACAACGATTACTCAAAGAAACATAAGGGGGTTTAATGCAGTTTGACATAAAGTTTTTGTAAATTTCAAAGTGGTAAAAATCACTCTGTTCCCCAGCATGGGATAAAGTAACCTCCAGTTTTTTGGATTCCATGGCAGACTTGAATAGGTTTTTTGAATAAAATGCGCTGGATCACACATCGTTCTACCGAGACTGAAAAAGATAGCTATGATGGAAAACTTATTAAATTGGTATCTTTGTGTCTGATACTTATACAGACGGTTACCATATGATATCAGATCAGGCGGACCAACGCGGACTTAGCCAATGAAAGACAGTTAAACAATGTTACGTGAGGATTAGTAACCTAAAAGTACAGTAGGTGGTCCAACTCAAGAAATTTCAACGAAAATTCCGAAATGCGTTTTCGTTTCGGAAAGATCAATTAAGCAGGGTTGTAAAACTAATCACTATGCAGCATAATTCTATAATACTTCAGTTACCTCAGGATGCCCGCTTTCGAAAGAACATCTTTTCGGCCGTATGCAAAAGCCATACTCTGTAAAAAATGGCAACTTATGTAGTATGCATTTTTCTCATTGATTTTCGATGCCCTTAAAAATTCAATTATATTTCATGTAAAACATGAATAAAAATATTCATTCTGTTGCATACTCGGTAGAACAGGACGTCTTCTTCCAATTTTATACTCGAAGGAAGACTATAATTCAGTTTTTAAAAACTTTTCCAAATGCCGAATAATTTTAAACCCGACCTGCCGTTAAACTTGCATTCAGGGTCTCCAAACTACGAGCTATTTATTTTCTGCGTACGGAAAACCATACATTTCTCTATGGTATCAGGAGGAGATCATAAGGGTTTCAAAAAATTTGGCAGTGAATTTGAGCTATATTGTTGATTTTACAAGCCACATTAGAAAATGCAGAGTCATTGCGTTTTATGCACGGCCATTTCCCGATATTAAAAAATCTCACAATTAGAAACTTCTTTAAAACCAAATTATACCCTTCCTTAGAATATAAAATTGGAATGAGACGTCGTTTCCTACCGAATATGTAAAAGAATGAATATTTTTATTCATGTTTAACATGAAATATAATTGAATGTTTAAGGGCATCGAAAATCAGTGAGAAAAATGCTTACTAATTAAGTGGCCATTGTTTACAAAGTATGGTTTTCGCATGCGGCCGGAAAGATGTTCTTTTGAAAGCGGGCAGCCTGAGGTAACTGAAGTAGTATAGAATTATGCTGCGTGGGGATTGGTTTTACAACCCTACTTACTTAATTTTTTCAAAACGAAAACGTATTTCGGAATTTCGTTTGACATTTCACGAGTTAGCTCACCTACTGTATGCCGGGAAATACTTGTTTCTCCCAAATTACATGGGAAATTTTTAATCGGCACACAAAACTCACGAGATAGAAGACAGTAAAATTCCTGATACTCTAAACGGAAGACAAGAAGCGGAAATGCTTCTAGCTGTCCGTGGATAATTACACAATGTGGAAAATCAAAGTAGGAAGAACTAGTTCCAATCAAAAAGGATCAGCTGGGCTGAAATATTTGATGAGCAAACGCCCGATGGTAAAAGGCAAAGTAAGACAATGCATGATTTTTCTAATGTCTTTACATCGTCAACTGAAAACCTTTCTATGCTTGTTCAACAACTTTTAGATTTGGAACCACGGCTTACATACGAATGTGCAGTTTGGGGCTCCATTGGATAAAGTTACCCTGTTTGAGGTTTTAATCCGATGAATTTCTGAATGACCGTCGGACTAAATTCACATGGCGTTTTCTCAAAGATTACTGGAAATCATGATTGGCTATACCAAAAAGATGTCATTTATGTATCAGTTCGTTGATACTTTTACAGACGCCTAACATACGGTATCAGATCAGTTGAACCAACTCAGACTTAGGCAATTAAAGACAGTCACATTAGTAGAAATAACCTAAAAGTATGCCAAGAAATACTTGGGCGGTAAGTCAATTTGTCGAATAATGACCGTATTCAGCTGTTTAGCAATCGCAGGAATAAAATATGTTTTCTTTCACTCGTTGATAGAGAATTACGTCGTCTTCATATTTTACTCTCGAAGAAAGCGTATTATTAGGTTTTAAAAAGTTTATAATTATGGGATTTTTCAAGACCGTGTAATGTCCATTCATACAGGATTGTACTTCTTCGTCTACCACTGCTCCTAATGAAATGTACGAGATAATCCGCATCCATTGCGGAATTTTATGGACTCTATCTGGAGTCTTTTTAGAGGCATAAAAAATATATGATTTTCATTTCGCGGAACGCATGCATCTTGCAGACTGAAATCACTAGGCGCTAATGCAACGGCTAATCCGGTTTCAAATTATTTGAGGATTAGAAAGGTTTTTTAAAAACTATTTATACGCCTTTTGCGAGTATAAAACATGAAGAAGGCGTAATTCTCTATCAAATGAGTAAAAGAAAGCATATTTTATTCATGTTTTATATAAAATAGATTCAAATTTATAAGCCCATCGAAGATCAATATCAACAATGCATGCTACATACGTAGCCATCTGTTACCGAGTACGGTTTCCGCAGGAGATTGAGAAGAAGTGTAGTCAAAAGCAGACATCCTGCATAGTCCGGAATATTATAGGACTATGCCGCGGGATAATATGTATTAGAACCCCACCTAAGCAATCCTTCCTAATCGGAAACGCATTTCAGAATTTTGGTTAACATTTCATGAGGTCGGTCACTCACTGTACATACGACTACTCTCATTGGCAAACTTTACTGGTTCTACACGGTCAGCTTTAGTTCTGCAGCAGTACAGATGTCCAAGATATCTGGATAACGACGGCACTCAAAGTGTTTGCTCGGTATCCAGTACCTGCTGTTTTATGAACGCTGAAAACAGCTTTCTGAAATGGACGAAATGCATCTTCGCCCCCGATTTTGAACAAGCGACCTTAAAGACACCTAATTATAGCTTTCGAATATTAACACAAAAACGACCTATTTAATAGGAAAACGGCTGGTTCCGTTCTGTTCGCTGCCCTCTCCAACCAACAGCATCACAAACTAGCAGCTGCAGTTAGACATCAAACCGACATACACTGCCGACTGGTGAGAAACATGCAATTGTCCACCGAGGTTGTTGTTAGAGGCAGCAGTTTGAAAGATCAGAGTTCTTGTACCTCCAAAAACCTCAACGTTTGATATTTGAGGTCTGGTAACCGCCTTGGCATAGGCTCCGCCATGGAAAGAAAGCAGTCGGCCAGACAGTTGTAAGATTTAGTGACTGTGCTCGTCTATACCCACTTGTTACTTACATCATCCTGATCCGATTTCGACATAAAATAAACTGTCTAGCTATGAGAAATGAGTTTGCGTGCTTTTATTAGCTTATTACGAACGTCAATGTGCAAAAAACTCGATATGTCATCGCAGATTATTCACAGTGGTTTTTATTATCTGGCATCATCTCTTTTATATTCCTCCGTCATAGCACTTTCGTCCCTTGGGATTTAAGGTTCTCCTGAGGTATAAAGAAAGCAAAATCTTAACTTATGTCAGACCAACTATTGTTTCAACAATTGATTTTTTGAACAATGCAACTTTCGGAAAACTTTCCCCTCTTGCAGAGCATTGTACTCAAACCGGACTCGTTGTCGACGAACTTTTTGATGACG